CCTCCTCCCAGAAAAAACCGTACTGATAATGCCAACGGCTGGAGCCTGCTTCCTCCTGATTTACGGTCGGTTCACATGGCCACCCAGCACACGGCAACCCCTGGGAAACCACTTGAAAATCTGAATGCGCCAACTTCCTGCCTGTGGCCTGGAGATTGTGTGTAGCTGCCGCCAAGCATGGGATTAAGTTTTTGGTGTTTTTGCATGCCACCCCCAAGCTCCAGGCAGCATCTCGAGGTTTGCATCTGGCAACACATTCTGCTCGGCTTTCGTTGCTCTAGGCAAAGCTCCCAAATATCAGCTTGGCTTGCTTGCCAAACCTCTGTTTGTCCTCTGCTAGCAGTTCCTCCAGCCCACGAACAAACACAGAGGGAATGAAGGGGAGGCAGAAGTCTTGCTTTGCTTGCATGGAAATTGGGGGGGGGGGGGGGGGGGGGGGGGGGGGGGGGGGGGACGGAAAGACACCTGCTCTTTCATTTCTTCTCCAAATGGCAGTGCAATGGAGAGCTGTTGGAGGCTGCTTGGAGTTCTTCCTGTCAACGCCTCAGGACAAGACAAACCTGCAAGCACGCCACCCCGCCATGTGATTGGGCATGCGACCGGCCGAGGGCTCCCGGGAGCCGTGAGGGTAGATGGGTTTGGGAGCGGGGCACCTGTTGTGTTTCTCTCTCGGGCAGCAGGTAGACAAACGCCTGTGGCTGTCCATCAAGTTGTAGTGGCCCTTCCTAGGACCGCGGGCTCAGCTGGTTTCCAGAGAGGGACCCTATGAAGTGGCCGCCGGCTCAAGGCCTGCAGCAGGCTCTTCTCCCCACTGTGCCAACAGCACTCGGCAGCAGTGCCTGGAAGGCTCCCACGGGCTTTGCCCTGAGCTCCAGCAAGCAAAATAACTCCACTGTAAAATGGACTCCCTTGAATTTTTGCCGAAAGAAAGAGAAAAAAAGAAAAAGAAAGAAAGAAAAAAGAAAAAGAAAGAAAGAAAAAAGAAAAGAGAGAGAACATGTATCTTTTACATGGACATATACAGGCCTGCTTCTCAATGTTTTAATTAAATTTGGGATGAATATGTTATGACTGGACATGCGAAGTAAAGATGCTAAGTAAAGATTACGGCGCTCTTGAAACCAATATCTATTTCTCTGTCTATATTAAAATAAAAATCCATATATGCATAGATGGCAGAGCAATTTCTTTTTAAAAGCTCATTTCAAGAGGTGCTGGCTAGAAAATATTGTATATCCATGTGTTGCGGATTATAGTGACAATTTAAAAAGTTGTCCTACTATACAAACAAACGAAATACCTGGATCTCGGGTCAAAAACCCTCTCAGCCTCTTTGGCCTTAGCATTCTTTGAGGCGTGGCGGGGAGGGGGGGGCGCTATCTGGGTTGAGCTTAGGCAGCATGCTGTTACAGGAGCCCAGAAGGATGGACTTCGAAGGTGCTGCTCCACTGGTGTTTGGGATGCCTTGTTTTCCATTTTGTCTCTCATTCGTTTTCTACATGGGACCAAACAAGGGGTTTTAACTAAAGCACCTTCAGTATTTATTTATTAGGTTTCTATCCCACTTTTTTCCTTACGAAGAATTCAAAATGGCTTACATAAAACTCCCCACCTGCTCTCAATCTTATCCCCACAACAGCAACCCTGTGAGGTAGGTTGGGCTGAGGGTCTGCGACTGGTCCAGAGTCACCCAGTGGGCTCCCTGGCCGAGCGGGGACTCGAACCCGGATCGCCTGAGTCCCAGTCCCGTGCTCTTCGCCACTACGCCACACTGGCTCCCAGTATGTGGCTCCCGCTTTGTTCCACCTTGCTAGTTACTCAGAGGCTGTGGAAATCCTGAATCCAGGTGTCTGGAGGTGTTCGGGACTGATAAGGTCAAATAAGTTGAAATGAAGATGGAATTATTGTGAATTAGGAAATCTGCTAATGCGGATGGAGAATGTAAATGGGTGTAGGAAATGGTTTTGTTTTTTTCCCACTATTTGCAAAGTAATTGCTTTCATATATTATTTCCAGCAGAGACTCAGTCTTTTCCAGGCTTGCAAGAGGACACATCTTCACAAAGGGAGTGCAAGAGGGCATTTAATAGCAAAAAGAAAAAGCCATTTCCTACACTTATTAAAAAAAAATAATCAAGCTATAGCGAGTAGGACTAATACAAGAGTATAAAATAAACTGATATACAGATGGTGATGCAGTGTATATCGCAATCTTCAATGTCAGTATATCACAATTAATATAGTGGCATTGGAGATTATAAGATAAACATTGATAGGGCAGAAAGGATGGTGATATATTTGGAAAAAGGATCTCCCCTTGGATAGTCAGTCTAACTGAACTAGTCAATCTGCTGGACATCTGGAAAAATGGAGCATTAATTCAAGCTACAAATATTTGGTTAATGACAACTATTCTCCATTACTAAATCAACAAGCACAACAACAATGAAAAGTCAGGTCATTCATATGGAGTAATGTTAATGATTCTTTTTTGGGGAAGGAAAGGAACACATTTATGTGGTTAAAAACTGTTCTAAAAGTTCAGTTCTTATTCCAAAGTGTTCCAAGCCATCTATCTCACAAAGTACCAGCTGTATAGCCAAAGATGATATGGAATAACAAACCAAACCAACCAAACCAAGCCAAAGTAAGTGGTATCACATTTAAAATAAAAGAATATGTGATCATGGAGAAGAAGGAAGAGCTAGATTGCATGAAAGATAATGCTGGCAATAGTCTTCCCACAAGAACAAGGAAGCAGTAAATGGCTACTATCTGATACACAGCAAACAGCGTCTGCTCAGAACTGGGCCCACTCAGTTCACTGGGACTTGCTCTCGGGTAAGTGGGAGCAGGGTTCCAGCTTTACTACAGTTCAAGAAGTGGGTTTTGTGAGAGATTTTCCTGCTGTGAGAGTGAAGCCCTTCTGGAAATGTGGAAGGAAGGAAGGAAGGAAGGAAGGAAGGAAGGGCTCCAAAGCTCTTTTCTGGGCTCCTCAATTTAGATAATCAGCTAAGAGGGCAATCCTGGGCACATTCAGACAGAGGAATGTCCTACAACTACCAGCTTGGCTGGCTGCAGCATGCTGGAATTGTAGGCTGCTTTGCTTACTTACTTATTAGATTTCTATCCCACTGTTTCTAAACAACTCAGAGCGGCTCACACCCTTCTCCCGCTGCTGTCAATCTTCTCTCCGTAGCAATGGCCCTGTGAGGTACTTTGGGCTGAGACTCTGTGACCGGCCTGGCCAATTGTCCCCCAGTGGGAAGGAAAGATGCTTGGGAAATCAAAAGCACCTTGGGCGGGATCTTTTTTAGAAGGTGCGGGGAGTTAACCTCCTCTCCCCACTTTCTCTGCTGATCTTCTCTTGCTTCCACCACTGCATTAAAATAGATCCCAAAGGCAGCAACAAACCTCAAATGACCGAGCAAGATGTATAGCTTGGCCCTGACTTTGGCCAAATGTTAGGAAGCGAGAACAGTACTGAATGGCTTGGAAAATTGTGGCGTTTGCTTACCTTGGTTAAGGTCATAGAGTCTGCCAAACATGACCATGAAAATGCAACCTACACACCACAGCCTGCCTGCTTCCCAGGGCTGCTTCCGGTGCAGACCCAGAGCTGGAGCAGCCCTGGCCAGAGCTTCCCTTAATAGCACAAGCGGTAGAGAGGAAAGCCCCTGGCTGGGGAAGAGGAATGGCAGCGGAGGGAGGGGGAGGCAGCGTGCATGTGAGTGTGAAGAGTGTGACGGTGTCTGTGGATATGTATGCACAGATGTTGAGGCAGTCCCTGGCATCCCAGCAGATACCTGAAGAACTCCTTGGAGCCAAAAAAGGTTGTGTAGCATTGCTGTATTGGATAACCGGAGTCTAATTATTTGCGTTTGTTATGTACCAGCAAGTAGTCTCTGACTTATGGCAACCCTGTGAACGGAAACCCTTTGGAACGTCCAGTCCACGACATCCCTGCTCAGCTTTGGCAGATTCCAGGCTGGGGCTTCCTTTATGGAGCCAATCAGTCTCATATTTGTTCTTCCTTTCCTTCTTCTGCCTTCAGCTTTCCCGAGCTGAAGATTGTCTTTTCCAGGGAGTTTTGCCTTCTCAGCTTTGAGAATGACAGTCTCAGCTTTGCCATTTTTGCTTCTAGGGAATGTTCTGGCTTGATTTGCTCTAGGACCCACTGGTTTCTCTTTCTGTTTCTTTCTTTATTTAAAGTTTTTATACGCTGCCCACAAGTATCAGCCTGTTATGATGTGTGAACCCGGAGAGGGTGAGTCGTTGCCACGGGTGACGAGCCACCTGAAACTCATGGGCTTCAGTACGATCCATCCCTGTGCAAGAAGCACCGTTCTTCCATGCCCCCCTAGCAGCAACGAGTGGGCAAACGGTTGGCTGTCAGGAATGGTGGCTGGGATACCCACTCACCGCCATCCATTTTCCCATGCACCATCACCCAGGGAAGGAAGTTGGCCCCTGGGAACGGCAGCTGGGGAAGGCTGCCAGTTGTGCAACTGGGGATCTGCAGGGATTCACGGGCTTCCTCTTGGCTTGGCTTGCTAGCTCTGCAGGACCAACCAAGCATGGGAGGAAGTGTACAGATTCTGGAGGGGTGGGTTCCAAAAGGGTTCATCCCAACTCTAATCTCCAGTAAAAAAGACCTCTGATGGCAAGGTTAAGAATGAATCTCCCAAAGTTTTCAGAAAAACGAGTGTTTGGCTACTACAGTTCAGTGGTGTACAAGAGAGCACCATATGTGCAAGTGATAACTTGCATTCCTGTGTCCGCCCTGGCAGCAATTACAACATGCCCTATGTTAGGAACATCATATATCCAAATAATATAGGGCTTCTCCTTTATGTCAGAGCATCACTTGTTGAGAGGATAAACACTGGTCCTCTGTGTTGCACATGGACCCACCAAGTGCAGGCTCAGGAGAAGTTGATGGTGTGGAACTCTGCCACATAGACATGTGGGCCAAGAGAGATCGGAAGAGAAACTGCCTACCTTGGGGTCCACATTGATGACCTTCCTGTCAGCCTTGTTCTTGAAGAGCAAGCCGCAAACGTTTTCTGCAATCACCTGGTAGCTTGGACTTGAATTCAAGCAGCAGATGTTCCTATCCCAGTTGTAGAAACTGTAAACAAAGCACAAGCAATGCAGAGCCTCTGTGAGGCAGGGGGCCTTCTGCTGGGCTGTGGCCAGCACGACCTTTGCTCCACTCCCTGGTCCACATTTCCCCCAAGTGGTTTTCAGGGGCGCACTGGTGAGAGGACACAGGAGAAGGCATCTCCAGAGCGTCTTCAGAGGAGCACCAGTGACGCAGGAACAGGGTACTTCCTGCTCCAGCACAGGGTATAGACCCTCTGGTCTTGCGGCAAATCTGGCCTTTCGTGGATCCCGGTTGGAACCTCCAGTGGCCTATACCCCCTCCCCAATCCCCCCCCCACTGCTCATTTGGGGGTCTCCCAGCTTTAGGGCAGTTTTCCCCATTCTGAAAGGGAAGGCCCTTCTAAGGGCTTTGTTACTGGCAGTATTTATATATTTAATTTTTTGCCTTACCATCTACTAGTTTCATTGAAAATTGCAAGACAATTTACAGTTTTAAGAACATAGAAACAAATTACAGAAAAAGTTATAGCTAAAATATGCTAAGCTTGATCCCACCTACTGCTTTACCAAGTGAACGAAGCGATCCAGAAGGGTTCGACTTTTACTATTGTTTGCAACAAATCAGCACATAGGAAGTTGAAGAATGAGGCAAATAAACACAAGATAGATATTGCTCCTACGTTACTCCAGCCGTTTGAATGGGAAGCGAAAGGGTGCATCTCACCTGGCCAGAGACCTTTTGTTACAGCTCAGGAACGGGACCTATCCTGCCCGAAATGAGCGCTGCTGGAGCAGACTCCCAGGTCCCAAAGCAGAGGATTGCAGTGAAGCTGCTCCTAGGAGCCTGGGCATTAATCTATGGACTGCTATTCTGCGTGTGTCTATGTAAGCGTGTTTATGCCCTGCTCTAGTAAGTCCGGGCCCTATTTAAGGTATTGGTAATGACCTATAAGGCCCTGAATGGCTTGGGACCTGGATACCTGAAGGAGCACCTTCTTCCCTATGTGCCTGCCCACCCCTTAAGATCTGAGGCAGTAGTCCTGCTCCAGGAGCCCTCTGTGAAGGAAATCAAGAGGGTAGCTACTCGGAGAAGGGCCTTTTCAGCAGTGGCACCCCAACTGTGGAACATGCTCCCCAGGGAGGTTTATCTGGCACCGTTGCTTTATTCTTTTTGGCATCAGGCAAAGACCTTTTTATTTTCCCAATATTTTAACAGTTAATTGGTTTTATCCTTGCTTTTATCATCATCATCATCAGGTGCAGTGCGTTGTGTGTTTGTTGTACATGGTTGTTTTGTTTTTTATTTTTTGTAAGCCATCCAGAGACTTTTAGTATTGGACAGCATATAAAAACTAAATAAATAAATAAATAAATAAATGCAGGGAGGTCCTGAGAAGGGTGAGTGGGCTGCATCCAGAGTGGACCATCACAGCCCTCTTTTTGAGACACATCAGGGTTGGCACAACTGCGATCTCCCTGCCATGTTTTGTCTTATCCATTTCTTCTCTTAAATATTCTGCTTCCTTACAGCTCAGCCCGTTATCCACTCTCTGTACAAGTGCTGCTGGTGCTAACGCCCTTCCAAGTTCCAGTGCCGGCTGGGTCCCTTGGCTGCGCCACAGATGAACCCTTTGAAACCACAGTCCAGAAAGCCCTAAGGAGATCCCGCAGTCTGAGTCGGTATCTTTGACTTGGAAGCTGGTGCATCAGCCTACAACCAAGCAAGCCACTCCTTGCCTCTGGGAAGCCCAGGGAGCTTTGGATCTCTGCTTAGAGCTTCCACCAGGCTCAGACAGTTTGGACAATAGTCAGGCATGATGGGAATTGTGATCCAAAGATTCTGTAGGGCAGCAGGGCTGGGAAAGGCTGCCCAGAGGGTAAGTGTCTCTTCTCCCCAAAGTCTTTGCCAGGTTTGAGTGGCCTGCAGGAGAGAACATGGAGTTCTTCCCTCTGTTTTTCCAAATGACACTCTGCTGGTTAAGCACCACAACTGCCTTGACAGTTTCCCTTAAAAATAAAATCAGCGTTCCTTCTGCAGCTGGCCAGTGCACCATTCAGCACTGCATGTTCCACATACCTGAGTCCCTTACTGAAGAGTATTAAAGCGTAAAACATTTGGAAATGTATTAAAATAATAATAAGAGGAAATTGGGCAGCAAATTTTAAGACACTTTTGGCCTCCTTTACTGTGTATCTGATAGCATTTTTCTCTCGCACAGGATGATTTATAGCATTCAAACAGAATCTCTAATTCTATTAATCAAAATTAGATTTAGCTATATTAAGGGCATTGTGATTCTTAGGTTGCAGTTGATGCTACAGTCAGGATTGTTATTCATTCCAGAGGGTGAGTCACATTGTACTGAACTAGAAAAACATACAAGCTGAAAGACCAACAGGAAAAAAAAGATGTGAGAATGCCTTACAGTAGTCAAGTTTGGAGATAAGCTAAGAAATGGAACAGGTTACAAAACCCTGGTTTGTCATTGTGTCTGAACTCATCCCTGCAAACTAACTACAGCTGTGTCCAAATGTTTTCTCAGAAATCTTCAGCCTATTTGAGGGCAGAGAAACTGGGGGACAATTTTGCTGAACTTCTGCATTTGAGGTCTGTGAACTGGGGAGGGGAAATTCTCCAACAGGTGCTCACCAAGAGCGCGATGCTCATAGGCAGCTTTCAAACAAACCCAATAAGTAAGCAAGTAAATAAATGAAATAACACCCTCAAATGGAACAAGAAGAAGGCTCTTTGTGCCACTGAGGCCACCCAAGCCTCAAGAGGCAAAAGAGGTTTCAGGAAAGCTATGGACCTGCTCTTTCGGTCCCATCCAGATCAGGTTAAGTCCTCACCAGCTGATCAACAGAAAGGCCCACTAACGCATCTCAATTCTATCTGGAAAGCTTCAGTGCATCAGCCCACATTCAGGGCACTGGCACAGCCTGGCACCAATTCAGCACATCCACAACCTCGCCTGCTAAAACCGCGAGCGAATAACAGAGCTGTGCATCATCAGAAGCAAGCGGCAGCCCCCCCAGCAGATCTCTCCCACTAGTTTCATAGAGATGTTAAATAGCACAGGGGTGAAAACTGACCGCTGCCAAAGCCCATGCTGGAGGATCCATGGGGCTGAGCAATATCCCCAGGCACTGCCTTCTGGAGCTGACTCAGGTAATTCCCCCAGGTGACCATGGGTGATGGTGCTGAAAGCTGCCAAGAGATGCATAAGATCACCCCCCCCCCCATGTCTCTCTGGGGCCATCATTTTATCAGAACACACTGAGAATTGAGCTGAATGGTGAACAGGGACATTGGGTTCCTTTCTTGAGCACACTTTAAAGACATTTCAGTTGTGCCAATAGCTTCTTTGACGCCATTCAATGATGCTAATGAAGAATCAGTACGGAAACGATATGCCCAAATGCAAACTTTGGCTGGAGGGAACTAATGAACTATTCTCACCCACAGCTGACATCAGCTCCAGTCATTTGCTGACAGCTGTCAGCTGACAGCTGATCACCTTCAACAAGGGGGAAACCATGGGCCTCTTTGTTAGGACTTTTAGTCAATCCAGAGGCTCTTACCAGATGTGGCTCAGGTAATCCATACTTACAGAATGCCCATTTATGGAACCTTGCAGTCATGAATAATTGCATTGGAAGTGGACCGGCTGTCCAATCCCACAGGAATATAGGAGGAAGAACAGGCACTCTTACCATTGGCCCTTACTGCTGCCCGTTTCCTCATTGCCTTCTTCCACCACCTGTCTTTAATATTGGCCCAGCTCAATGACTTCATTGCTGACTGCACATGCACAGTACACACATGCAACAAACATGCAAGTATAATGGAAAAGAGAAAGCAGAGGGCCAGACAACCTCTTTCATGTGTGTCAGTGGACATGAAATGCTTCCACTTCCAAGCCCAAGCTCAGCCACTTACCTGGTATTTCTGCTGCCAGGTAAGCGCCCACTCATGGATGTTTTGCTCATTTAAGCAGTAGTTTTAACCAGCTCTTGACTGGAGGCAGGTGAATGAACACAAGGGCCATGCCAATTTATTCCAAATTGTCGCATTACTAAGTTGCTGCGCCCCAACGCTCCTAACTACCTGTTATTAAATCCCTTTGCTACACAGCTCTGTGGCACAATAACTGTAGGGTGATTAGCATAACATCTACAAATTGGGGACGTTGCTGTTATACTCCTGGGGAGTTTATATGCATGGCAAACCAGCTTGGTCTAGTCGATAGGTTGCTGGGTTTAGGGGAAGCAGACCTGGATTCGAAACTCAACTCAGCCCACAGTTCTCCAGGCCTGGGTGGAATCAAGCAGCTAGCACCTTGTGTACCGTGGCCTGAAATCCTTTGAAGGAAGGTGGAATACGGATGTGGAAATATGAATGCAAAGGAATGAGCTGATACATACTGCTCTGAGCAGCAGAACATTGGCAAAGTGGAGGCCACATATGATTTGCTCCTGGCATTATTTAAATCCAGCCGGCCTTTTCTCTTTCTCTCTCACCAGGCCAGGAAGGGTTCCTTTGCCCCAGTCCTCCAATCTTTCCTCCCCACCCACTCAAATACATCCAGATAAAACTGTTCCCTATAGCAGATTGGGAATTCAGTCAAAAGCTAATTACAAACAATGATGGCTCAACAGCTTTTTTCACTTTGTGGTTCCACAAGTTTGTGATGTCAGTCATCCAGCTCAGCTTCCCGCCTCTTGTAATTGAAACTACAGCCTTTCCGCAAACGAGCGATGAAAGAAAAGGGTGGTGACAGCAGACAGAAGGGCTGGTGATGGGGTTGAGAAACATAAATCAGATCCATCAAGGCATTTGATTTCTGGCTGCTATATTATCATTTTCCTGGCACCCTTCATGGCCTTGCCAAATAGGACACTGAAAAGCAGTAAACTTGAGGGAGGCATCCAACACCTCCGTTTTTCGGGGCAAATATTTTGGCTTACTTTGGAGGGACGCAGCAACCTGGCACATGTTCTGCATGGTGCACGCTACTGGGACTC